GAGTCTGCGTGGGTCTAAGTAAATACTTTATTGACATGTGAGTGTTTCCTTTTCCCCTGAGCGAGAAAATCATGGAAATTTCGAAAGTCGCGTTTCCTGGCTTTTTGCCTTGGCCCGGAGGCAGCGGCTTATCCCCGGCACGGTCTCGAGCTCTGCTCCCCCCCGGTTGTTGGCCAATTTGCGTCGATTTTTCGCCCTCTATTTTAAGAGCCGTGAGCCGCCATTTGACCGGGGGCCATTCAACAGAGATCCGTTAAACTGCGGCAGATTTGAAAGCCCGGACAAGATTTAATGAATTTATGTCAAGGTGCGAGGGAATGTCTCTCTCTCCCTCTGTCCCTGTCTCTGGGCGCTGGGCAGTGGACAAGTGTCGGATTTGGTCGCTCGTAGGAGACAGGACCTGTCAACAATAAAGCCTGAATGCCATTTTAATTGGCGCATCGGGGCGTTGGCTGCTGGTCGAAAAGGCGCGAATCCTTGGCAGAGAACTGGCTCCCCCAGGACTGGGTACGGGGGAGGGGGATGCTCCGTTTGGCCTTCAGTCGTTGCGCACAATTAAAAGTTGTCCGCGATGTTTGCCCCCGGACCCGGACCCGGACCCGCACCCAAGCCCAAACCCCAGCCCAAACCCAAGCCGAACCACAGCCAGGGTCCATTCCGGTCTTGGCCAAAAGTAGCAAAATGAGCAAAAGTTTAGTGAATTAAGTGCATCGGAGAATGGCAGCCCGTGACGGTCCCGGGGAGTGGTCGGCGACAGCTCAAAGGTCACGGGGTCCCGGGACAAACTTTCCATTGATTTTAGCAGCCACAAGCAGAGTGCAAGATTTCAGGGGAGATTTCAAGCCATAGTATGCCCTGAGTTTAGAGGATACTTAGTCGATCATCAGCCCACATTGATTCGGATACGGACTGAGAATGAATTTCGTTTTGTCGCGGCGAGTGCTGCGGATGGGCGGCTGCCAGGTGCTGGAACCAAACATATATAATGTCCGCCAACTGCTGAAGACCTTCGACACGATCGTCTACGCCGCGGATGGGGTGCTGTGGCGCCACGATCAGGCACTCACGGGAGCTGCCGATACGTTCAATGCCCTGCGGGCGATGGGCAAGAATTCGTTCATCTGCACCAACAACTCGGAGGCCTCGTGCCGGGCCCTGAGCAAGAAGGACAGACAGCATGGGCTTCCTGATAGCCGAGAACGAGATCCTCTCCTCGGCGCAGGCTCTGGCCCGCTATATGCGAGAGCGGAAGTTCAATCGCAAGGTCTACATCGTGGGTGGCCAGGGCATCAAGGACGAGCTGCGGCAGGTCGGGATCGAGAGTCTGCCGCTGGACTTGGCCTCCACGCAGGAGAACTCCATGGTGGACCAGGTGCAAAAAATGTACTTAGATGCGAATGTGGGCGCCGTGGCCGTCGGCATGGACTTGGGCCTCAATGTGCTGAAGCTGACCAAGGCCAGCATATACCTCCGGGACCCAAAGACCCTCTTTTTGGCCACCAATCGCGATCGCGCCTTTCCAGTGGCTGCCGACCGTCAAGTGCCCGGGGCGGGAGTCGTGGTGGCTGCCATACAGGCGGTGGCGAAGCGGGCCCCGTTCACCTGCGGCAAGCCCAGTCCCTATGTCTGCTCCCATCTGATACGTCAGGGTGTCATCGAGCCGGAACGCACCCTGCTGGTGGGCGACACGTGAGTTTCTCACTCCTATATGGTATTTTCGCTTACTTTCATGCCTTTCCCCCCCCCCGCCCAGCATGTACACGGATATGCAGTTCGGCTACAACTGCGGCTTTCACACTCTACTGGTGGGCACTGGCGTCAGCAGTCTCCAGGATGTCCGCCATGCCCTGGCCTCTAAGCAGGCCTTTGCGTACCAGCAGATACCAGACCTGTATCTGCACAGGCTCTCGGACTTGCTGCCATTCATACCCTCCCGAAACTATTAAGGCCCCTACACCTGACACCTTACCCCTTACACCTTACCCCTTAGACTACATTCATTACTTTAGACAGACAGATAGACACCACGCTCTTACGGCAGTACTTTTGATACCCCTCGCTGTGGGGGGAATGTATAATTGATTGATAATTAAATTTATGTGGCACTGGCGCGCCCTTTAGGGGGGATCCCGAGAAGGGTCCTGAGAGCGGTTAATACGATGTGTACCTATTATTTCTCGGTGCTGGGCTTGCTCTGTTCAAACAGTGCTTTTTGATTGGATCTGAGATCTTGGTTTCTGAGAAAACTCACAATCTAGTACTGGCTGTGTGGAATGTCAATTGTGGTTTGACTGTTTTATTGTTGTTTCAAAATATCACCTACGAGCAGTTGTAGTCCCGTGCTGAGCCATGTTCAAGCGTACCTGCACGGATCTGACCAAAATACCCAAGGAGAAGGTGCGCCAGTGGCTGACCACAATCGAATCGGTGATATTCGATGCCGACGGTGTTCTGTGGCACCTGAACCGGCCGATCAATGGGGCAGTGGAGACCTTTAATATGATCAAGAGCTCGGGCAGGCAGGTGCTGGTGGCGACCAACCATTCGGGTCTGCTCACCAAGGATCTGGCCGCGAAGGCGCACCAGTTCGGCTACGAGATCCAGGAAGAGCAGATACTGAGCTCGGCGCTGTCCGTGGCCAGGTTCCTCAGCGCGAAGGGGTTCAAAAAGAAGGCGTACATCGTCGGGGAGTCGGCCATTGTCGATGAGCTTGCCAAGGAGAACATCTGCAGCTTCTCTGTGGGCAAGGAGAAGCTGCTCAAGCTCATGGAACAGTTTGCCAAGCATATGTACCTGGATCACGAGGTGGGCGCCGTGATAATCGGCAAGGATGAGAGCTTCAATGTGCCGAAGATAATCAGGGCCAGTTCGTACCTCCAGGGGCCGAAGGTCCTCTTCCTGGGCACCTGTCTGGACACCGCCTATCCGGTGGGCAAAAACCGGATGATTGTGGGCGCCGGTGCCATGGTGGCCGCCGTGAAGGCCATCACTGGCCGAATGCCGCTGATTTTGGGCAAGCCGAATCCCCTGATGGTGGAGCAGCTGCTGCAATGCGGCGTCCTCAAGCGGGAGTCCACGCTGATGGTTGGCGACACGTAAGTGGTCCGTCCTCCTGCCCCACCTGCTCTTACCTCACCCGCCTATTCCAGTCTCTACACGGACATTCTGTTCGCCAGCAACTGCGACTTCCAATCGCTTTTCGTGGGCACCGGCGTCAGCATCTTGAAAGAGGTGCGCCAGATTTGCAATGACGAAGGACACATTCGCATCTAAGTACATTTTTTGCACCTGGTCCACCATGGAGTTCTCCTGCGTGGAGGCCAAGTCCAGCGGCAGACTCTCGATCCCGACCTGCCGCAGCTCGTCCTTGATGCCCTGGCCACCCACGATGTAGACCTTGCGATTGAACTTCCGCTCTCGCATATAGCGGGCCAGAGCCTGCGCCGAGAACGAGATCCTCTCCTCGGCGCAGGCTCTGGCCCGCTATATGCGAGAGCGGAAGTTCAATCGCAAGGTCTACATCGTGGGTGGCCAGGGCATCAAGGACGAGCTGCGGCAGGTCGGGATCGAGAGTCTGCCGCTGGACTTGGCCTCCACGCAGGAGAACTCTATGGTGGACCAGGTGCAAAAAATGTACTTAGATGCGAATGTGGGCGCCGTGGCCGTCGGCATGGACTTGGGCCTCAATGTGCTGAAGCTGACCAAGGCCAGCATATACCTCCGGGACCCAAAGACCCTCTTTTTGGCCACCAATCGCGATCGCGCCTTTCCAGTGGCTGCCGACCGTCAAGTGCCCGGGGCGGGAGTCGTGGTGGCTGCCATACAGGCGGTGGCGAAGCGGGCCCCGTTCACCTGCGGCAAGCCCAGTCCCTATGTCTGCTCCCATCTGATACGTCAGGGTGTCATCGAGCCTGAACGCACCCTGCTGGTGGGCGACACGTGAGTTTCTCACTCCTATATGGTATTTTCGCTTACTTTCATGCCTTTACCCCCCCCCCGCCCAGCATGTACACGGATATGCAGTTCGGCTACAACTGCGGCTTTCACACTCTACTGGTGGGCACTGGCGTCAGCAGTCTCCAGGATGTCCGCCATGCCCTGGCCTCTAAGCAGGCCTTTGCGTACCAGCAGATACCAGACCTGTATCTGCACAGGCTCTCGGACTTGCTGCCATTCATACCCTCCCGAAACTATTAAGGCCCCTACACCTGACACCTTACCCCTTACACCTTACCCCTTAGACTACATTCATTACTTTAGACAGACAGATAGACACCACGCTCTTACGGCAGTACTTTTGATACCCCTCGCTGTGGGGGGAAAGTATAATTGATTGATAATTAAATTTATGTGGCACTGGCGCGCCCTTTAGGGGGGATCCCGAGAAGGGTCCTGAGAGCGGTTAATACGATGTGTACCTATTATTTCTCGGTGCTGGGCTTGCTCTGTTCAAACAGTGCTTTTTGATTGGATCTGAGATCTTGGTTTCTGAGAAAACTCACAATCTAGTACTGGCTGTGTGGAATGTCAATTGTGGTTTGACTGTTTTATTGTTGTTTCAAAATATCACCTACGAGCAGTTGTAGTCCCGTGCTGAGCCATGTTCAAGCGTACCTGCACGGATCTGACCAAAATACCCAAGGAGAAGGTGCGCCAGTGGCTGACCACAATCGAATCGGTGATATTCGATGCCGACGGTGTTCTGTGGCACCTGAACCGGCCGATCAATGGGGCAGTGGAGACCTTTAATATGATCAAGAGCTCGGGCAGGCAGGTGCTGGTGGCGACCAACCATTCGGGTCTGCTCACCAAGGATCTGGCCGCGAAGGCGCACCAGTTCGGCTACGAGATCCAGGAAGAGCAGATACTGAGCTCGGCGCTGTCCGTGGCCAGGCCAGCGCGAAGGGGTTCAAAAAGAAGGCGTACATCGTCGGGGAGTCGGCCATTGTCGATGAGCTGGCCAAGGAGAACATCTGCAGCTTCTCTGTGGGCAAGGAGAAGCTGCTCAAGCCCATGGAACAGTTTGCCAAGGATATGTACCTGGATCACGAGGTGGGCGCCGTGATAATCGGCAAGGATGAGAGCTTCAATGTGCCGAAGATAATCAGGGCCAGTTCGTACCTCCAGCAGCCGAAGGTCCTCTTCCTGGGCACCTGTCTGGACACCGCCTATCCGGTGGGCAAAAACCGGATGATTGTGGGCGCCGGTGCCATGGTAGCCGCCGTGAAGGCCATCACTGGCCGAATGCCGCTGATTTTGGGCAAGCCGAATCCCCTGATGGTGGAGCAGCTGCTGCAATGCGGCGTCCTCAAGCGGGAGTCCACGCTGATGGTTGGCGACATGTAAGTGGTCCGTCCTCCTGCCCCACCTGCTCTTACCTCACCCGCCTATTCCAGTCTCTACACGGACATTCTGTTCGCCAGCAACTGCGGCTTCCAATCGCTTTTCGTGGGCACCGGCGTCAGCATCTTGAAAGAGGTGCGCCAGATTTGCAATGACGAAGGACACAGCAAAGTGGACATGATCCCAGACACCTATCTGCCCTCTCTGGGACACTTGCGGGAGTTCCTCTGCTAGATCTGTCGATCATGAACACAACACATGAATGCATGCCCATCCATCTCGTACACCTTCTAAATGTAATGCTTCCGGTAATCACCGGATAGCACTCACGGGACACTGTCGAACTAAGAATTATTACGGGGCCGGGGCACCTAGGCAATCGCCGGATAGTACTCACGGGACACTTTCGAACTAAGAATTGCTACGGGGATCGGGGATATCGACAAGCATCGCCGAGGGTGCCTAGGCAATCGCCGGATAGCACTCACGGGACACTGTCGAACTAATAATTGCTACGGGGGTCGGAGACAGGGTTAGAGAGAGACAGGGCGGAGAAAAAATGAAATTGTTTTCTTGATGCTGGCTATAATAATAATACGATCCAATTCAGATTCTGCAGTCTAAAAGATATGGTCATTCTCTTCGTTTCTGCGTTTTTGGTTTTCTCGTATCGTCAAAATTGTGGATGCCACAGATTTTCGTCCTTTGTGGAGGCGGAAGTGGGCGGGGCAAAGTTTTGAAATATTTTTGTAGCAGTGACATATCACAGAAGTCTGGATCCAAAACATCGTTGCTCTAGCTCTTATAGTCTTTGAGCATTAGGCGCTGAAGGGGACGGACAGACGGACAGACGGACGGACGGACAGACGGACAGACGGACAGACAGACATGGCTTAATCGACTCGGCTATTGATGCTGATCAAGAATATATATACTTTATGGGGTCGGAAACGATTCCTTCTGGACGTTACACACATCCATTTTCACCACAAATCTAATATACCCCAATACTCATTTTGAGTATCGGGTATAACGAGTAGCAGGGGAATCGGGACTGTACTATGCCAGTCGGAACCATTAGGCCAATAATAGCTGTATATCTCTGTAAAACCGCCCGTGAGGTCGACCATTATTCACGTACAGGCGAGGCTGGCTTCCCTAACCTCCCTAGCCATAGCGTCAACACGTGGCCGCCGCGCCCACACGAGGAGGAGAGCGCCGCGGCAAGACGGCAGAGAAAGGGAACCGAGCCGAAGCTGGGTAGAAATCGCTGGAGAGAGAGCGACACGGGCGCGGCGAGCAGCGCGTCGTGAGCGGTAGAGGCCGAGTGAGCGTCGGAATCCTCCCGAAGACCAACCAGCCCGGCTATATATTTCGTACCCAGACCCAGAAGAGGATAGCAAATGCCCGGCCCTCGGCGCGAGCAGTCATTCAATGAACGGTCTTCAGCGCGATCATTCAATGCCCGGCCTACAAAATAGCCGAGAGTAAACGCCCGACCTTCAATGTGATCAGTCAGCGGATCCCACTTTGGGTGTCCCACCCCAAGCGTAATTTAAGTGGGGGGATTATGTAGTGCGCTTGTTGTAAGAAAAAAAATTGTTTGCATCGACGTCTTAATTTTCCCTAAAATTATGCTACGCGAATAGGCTAAGTCTTCTGTTGGGTTCAAGAAAGCTAAGCTTTTAACACGCCATATTATTTATTATATTTCTTTTGGCTGACGTTTTAATCGGCCTCTTCCTCCCACTGTCATTTTGACAAATCGGAAAGAAAAAGGGAAGAACGATGGGATGAGGCCTTGATTTCCGGGAAAAGCAGCTCGCTCTCTCCTCATGGTATCCGAACAGTACGGACGTACTTATCCAGCTCTCAAGAAAAAAATTTAATAAAAGTTAAAAATCAAATAAAAGTTCTCCGTAGATCAGCACGATCCGCCGGCCTTTCGAAAGCAAGACCCCATCCACCCAGTAGAGAAATCAATCCCCCATCCACTGTGCAGAGGATGGTGCAGTTTTTTCCGACGATCGCCCCAAAGCGGGCCACCGTAGAGTTGGGACGCTCCCCCCAACGCCCCAACGCCCTCCACCAAAGCGGTCCACCGTAGAGTTGGGAAACTCCACCTAAAGCCCCAACGCCATCCACCACATCGAGCCCTTCAGCAGTTCCCGAGCTTCAGCGCCGACAGAGAGGGGCCCCTCAGCCGTTTCCGAGCTTTAGCGCCGGCAGCAGCGAGCTCTTCGCCGCCCCAACGCGAGTCGTCGCGACCGAGAGTGGTCCATCCAGCCACCGGGCCAAGAGCCCTAAACAAAAAGTGCCAAGTGATCTTCCTTGCTAATGACAAGGAATAACCAGACTCGTCCAATAAAAAAGAGACCCTGACCCGAATTTTTTTGTCACCGTGCTTCGCCCTAACCTAAAAGTCAGATCATGGCATGTGCAGGTTAAGTGTATTAAATAAACCCCAACGGAACGGGCAGAACTCGTATGAACCTCTTTGTGGCCCATTGTGCATTTACTCCCAAAGAACATATATGCGCTTGTTAGGCCGTTGCCCCTTTTGCCCGTGAAACGAAACCAGCTGCTTGGAGCTTTTTCCGTGCGCCTACACCTTGGTCTATGTATCAAGACCTACCCCCATCGAACCTGAATAAACGAATATATATTGAATAAAGAATAATATATAGAAGTTAAATATGGAATAATTTGATTTATGCTCTATATATGCCCAAAAAAAAGTCCCTAAACAAAAAGAAAAAGAAAAGATCAAGATAATCCGGTGTTAGCCGTGGTCATGCGTGTCCATGTGTGTGTGCTCTCTCTCTAAAACTTACAGGTATATTAGAAGAGTTTTTCTAATCAGTTACCGAAAACTTTGGGTGGCTGTAATTTAAATTATTTATTTGGCGGGGCGAAAAACTTGATACGCTCGATCTATTTCAAGGTTGGCGAACAACTATATTTTCTTCACAATTCAAATCTCTTACTCTAGCTATCCTACGGTGGCAAAGCGGGGCGAATTCGCCAAGAGCGAGAGAGCGAGCTTTTATTGCGCTCCCGCTTTGCCCTAGCCTAACTTACACTAGACTTCATAATTCATAATTCATAGTTCCATCTATAACTAATAATTGTGGCCATGGATGGAAGGTCACGCAACACCGGCCCCGTTGAACGCCTGCATCGGCTTCAACACATTGGGAGCGGCGCTAATTTGTGTATGGGCCGCCGAAAAACCGCTCCAGTGCTAGTCCTTATTTCGACGACCCTGACCATGCCGTCCTCTCCTGCGTGCGTGGCTATGACCCTCCCTACGAGCCACTCCTGAGGCGGCAGATTGTCCTCGGCCACGATGACGAGGTCTCCTTCCTCGAGGTTCGGTTGCTGCTGGTGCCATTTGCCCCGAATTTGCAGCCCCAGGACATATTCGCGGGACCATCGCTGCCAAAACGCTTGCCTGACTGACGAGACAAGTCGCCATCGCCGCAAGCAACTGAGACTCTCCTGGTCCGGAGTCCGCAGTGCTGGGGGGGCGATGAGCGACCCGCCTGTCAGCAGGTGCCCGGGTGTTAGGGCCTCGCCGTCGCTTGGATCTTGGCTGATGGCTCCCAGCGGCCTCGAGTTCATTATGGCCTCGATGCCGACGAGGACTGTGGCGAGCTCTTCGGCGGTTAGGAGCGCGCTGCCTACCGCCCGTAGGAGTAGGCTCTTGGCAGTTTTTACACCTGCCTCCCATAGCCCTCCCATGTGAGGAGCTCGCGGCGGTATGAACGCAAATTCGCATCCGTTTTTTGACGCAAAGTCGCGAATTGCGTCTCCCTGCTCCTTGATCCTGATCCGCAGAGCGCTGAGATGGCGGCTCGCTCCGACGAAGTTCGTCCCGTTGTCGCAATGAACGACTTGGGGATATCCTCGGCGCCCGACGAACCTTTGAAAAGCCAACAAAAAACAATCAGTGGTTAGATCGGAAACTATTTCTAGGTGAACCGCCTTGGACGCAAAACAAACAAAAAGCGCAATGTATGACTTGTATGGGGGCCTTCCGCGAATTTTCAATGTCGTGTGCACTGGTCCACAAAAATCAACGCCGCAAATTGAAAATGGGCGGAGAGCACGGAGTCGATCTGCGGGTAAATTCCCCATGAGTTGCGTCAGCAATCGAGGCTTGCATTTAAAACAGCGCATACATGATCGAACTGTCTGACGGCAGACCTCCTGAGCGTTCACTATCCACACGCTCTGTCGAAGAATGCTCACAAGTGCTCGTGGGCCGACATGAAAATTCGAATGGTGCAGATGACGAATATAGCTTCGCACGAATTGCGAGCGCTTAGTCAAAAGCAGAGGAAACTTGGCATCGTATGATATAGGAGCTTTAGCTAGTCGCCCCCCCACTCGCAACAACGAAAAGTTACACCAAGTCCCTGTGTCTTCATGGATGAATGGGTTCAACCGCTGAAGACTAGGACCAATTGTAGATCCTTTCCTAACCTTTTCGATTTCTCCTTGATACTCGTGATGCTGGACGATTTCGACAATTTTATAAAAGGCTTCATTGTATTCGGTCGGTGAGATAGTTTTTTCGAATTTTAGGCTTGGGTCTTTACATTTTCTTATAAAGCGGAACACATACACAAACACTCTAAGCAGTTTGAGGTGTGACGAGAATCCCTCGATGACATCTAACAGCTCCGAACTTCGCACAGCCGCGGTCAGCCCGACCGCAGTCTTCCTCTTTTCCAGCTGAAGATCATCGGAGTGTTCGAAATGAGCGTTCTTGGGCCAGTTTTCTTCTTCCTCTTTCAGAAATGATGGTCCTTCGAACCAAATTGACTGAACGATTTCGTCGACGTCACAACCTCTTGAGACAATATCTGCTGGGTTCTGTTTCGTGGGTACATGCCGCCACTTAGCATCATCTGACCACTCTTGAATCTCAGCCACTCTATTTGAAACGAAAGTCGACAACGACGATGAATGAGACCGGATCCAATGGAGAGTTACCTCTGAATCCGACCAATAAACGACTCGTTCAATGGGCACGTTTAATAGGGGCTTGATTCTGTGACAGAGATCTGCGAGAAGGTGAGCGGCACATAACTCAAGCCTTGGGAGCGTTTTGGTCTTGAGCGGCGCTACTTTGGATTTCGAAGTCAACAATGATACTTTTAAACCTTCTGCAGTTCTGCTACGTATATAGACGCACGCTCCATACGCTCTCATGGAGGCGTCAGCAAAGGCATGTATTTGAACCGGTGACATCGGATCGGAATACACAAACCGAGATATGGATATGTCTTCCAATTGAGATAGTGTATTTTTCAACTTATTCCACGC